CAGTAAAAAGAAATAAATTATTAGCAATTGAACGTGCATTATTCTTTTTCCTTCGAATCTCTAATCAAGCCAACAGCTGTTTCCAAAGCCATAAGTGCAATTACCCATACCATACAACACAATCCTTTGTTTCTAACCCTTCAAACATAAGAATTCAAAGTTTACTACTGAAGTATTTCTCATTACTGAGAGTGATATGATCCATATCAGCTATAGCCTTTACTGCTTTCGACATCTGCATGACAGGTACCAAATGGCTAGAAATTATCCAAGCCAAGGAGCCCTCAACGTTGCTCGCAACTTTAATTTATACTATCATTTTTATAAGATGATGAAAGTTATCTATTTACAAAACATATTGTTCACAATTTATCTAATAATTTTATTTCTTTTAAAAAACCAAGTACTAAATGATAATTTAAATTATAAAAAAAAATAATCCTTAATTGTCTTTACACTGAAATATTCACCCATCACATTGTTTACAAAGTCCTTGTCACTTTTGCTGCTCATAGTTCAAAATATTATACGGCACAGTAACTTCTTAATTCACTTACTATGTAGTGTATATGACATATTGTGTAACTCTGTATATATGTGTATACATGAACTCTTCCACAACAATGATCTATGTATTAGTAATAAGCTGAATAAATAGACAGACAGACAGACAGACAAATAGTTTATTAAAGTGTCACGTGAACAATTACATGAAATAAAATACACAACAGACGCTGTAAAATATCGTTCACTCAGCCAATAAGGCTTATGAGACACTATAAACAAGTTAAAAACTATGTACATTTCGTTTTAGAGTAAGGTATAAGACGTAGTTAAAATGGATAATAATTTTTACAGGAATAGGAGTCGTCTTCTAAACATGTAATTCACAGTAGTTGATAAAATTAGCGGGTCTGACGACATTTAAATACTTAATAAATGCACATAGTTATCATAATTAAAATCTCCATTAATACAAGAGTCATCAGAAGATGACAAATCCCCCGGCCCCCATAAATTTGAAAGAACAAATCAACTGACAGTTACTTAAAGTCCAACTTATAATTAATTTTATTGGACTAGGTCCAAATTGTTTCCATGGAAATCATGAAAAATCAAAATGCCAAAAATCTGCAAATAGCAACAGGCAATACTTCAAGATCTGTTTGATACATCTGTCAAGTCTTGTAGAAAGATATTGAACGGTTTCTGAGTTGTGCGCTGGAAACAAAGCTCACCCCTCTCTTTTGAGACTATGTCCGAAACGTTTCCATGGAAACCAAGAAAAATAAAAATGACAAAAATCTGTAAATAGCAAAAGACACCACTTTAGAATCTACCTCACATATCTGTCAAGTTTTGCTGAAAGATATTAAAAAGATATTTTTGAGTTGTGCTCCGGAAACGAAGCCCACCCATCCCTTTTGAGACTATAGTTTGGCATGAAATGCATGTGGACCCGTTTTTTTGTAAATATCTCTTCATCCAATGATCCAATCGATCTCAAACTGTGCAAGTGGATGTTTTGTCAGACAACCTAATCACACTGTAAATCACCGATTTTATGCATTTGTATTAAAGAATCTGTCTATGTAACTGTCAACAAAATAAACAGCAGAACGCAGATGGCTTGCAGAGGGAGGGAGCCAATGACCTGTAACAGCGGCAGTGTTGGGTCATAAAGGTCAACGTTCGTCAATGTAGGTCAGCTATGCACGTGACAGGTATGAAGAGGTGTCACAGGTCGTGAATAGGGTAAGGTGGGTGCCAACTGTTAACCATCATACGGAGTTTGTTTCTTTGAGTTGTTCAACATTAACCACAAAACCCATTAGTGAGAATTATTCTGTAGGTTAAAATCTTTAAATTTGTAATGTTAATGTCATATTATGTTTATGCAGTACCTAAGTGGAAATGCATTTAAAGAACACAGAAAGTATATTTACACTAAATCATTAATCGGAACACCTATGGTTAGAAATTCAACAACTGTTAAAGCCCCGTTCCCTTGGACACAAGCACACACAATCATGCACACTCATTGAAGAACGGATAGTATGAAGACAAAAGTGTTATGTTTTGATGTTCACATTCCAAATTAAGCAATGCATTTCTAATAGCTTTAAGCATATAGATAGTTAATATTTATATTTTCATGATAATTTTATGTGAAATGAGTGTTTCATGTTACACTATAAGTCATTGGAATTAGTCAGTGCTGTCATTGTTAAAAGAAGTTATATTTCTTTGAGTATATCTGGCTGGATACTATTATTATCTGTAATATAATAACAGAATTAAACTTCATCAAGTTCACTCCATTCTTCCACAGAGGAGTCATCAGTGTCCAGACGAATGACAACTGGATTAACTGTTTGCTCCTTCAAGCCATCTTTGAGCCAGTACTCTTTCTCCACCTTCTTGACATGTTCAACACATGCATGCCAGCGTGCAATGTCAATGTCACATATAGCAGTGTTGACAATGTGCTTGACATCATTCAACTTGAATGACTGATTTTTCCGGGCCACTGTACTTTTAAGGTCTCCCCAGATAAGTTCGACTGGGTTGAGATCACAGTGGTACGGTGGTAATCTCAAGACCTTATGGCCGTGTTGGCTTAGCATGTTGTCAATGTTATATGTGGGTGGAGGTTTGTTAGGTTTAATCAAAGAGTACAACTGTGGTTTAGTGGCCTTAATTGAATATTGTTATTTGTTAGCCATTGCTGCATATCTGACTTCTTTGTATTGGAAGTTGGCCACCTAGTGTTTGGATCTCGAACACTGTGATAGGGAGCATTGTCCATGACAACAAGACTTTTGTAAGGCAGAGCTGGCAACAATTGTTCCTCAACATACTGTGTGAAAACCGTTGAGTTCATTTCTGTATGATAGTCCCTACCAACTGTGCTCTTTGACAGAAATACCAGATCACACCCAGGTAGGAATCCATGGTGGGAACCAGCATGAAGAACGATTAAATTCACCTTTGCCTGTTGGTATTTTCCTACCATCACTGGGATCAGTGGGTAGCCACTGTCTGGCAGCAGTATGGTATGCATTGACCCAGGTCTCATCCAGATATATAGGTTCGAACCCATCCTCTCTTGCCTGCTTAATTCCTCTCAGATAGTTACACCTTATTTTCACAATATCAGATCTCTCACACATTACAAGTTTCTGGTACCTTCTTGTACTTGTATCCAAATTTGAGCAGTAGTTTGCTTAGCATAAACCTAGAAACATTAATGTCGTGATCCTCTGCAAGGATCTTGTTGCCATGGAAATGCCAAAACTATTTTATTCAGAATTCCATAACTACCAAAAAGGAACCAATACACCACCAGACCAATCTATGCGTCAAGTTTGGTGAAGAAATAGTGAACGGTTTTAGAGTTCAGCTCCGGAAAAGAGCCCTACCACTAATTTCATTCTAAGTCAAACTTGTTGCCATGGAAATGCCAAAAATATTTTATTCAGAACTCCAAAAGTACCAAAAGGCACCAGTACACCACCAGATCTATCTATGTGCCAAGTTTAGTGAAGACATATTGAACGGTTTTAGAGTTCTGCTCCGGAAAAGACAAATGTGCGGACGGACGGACGGACGGACGGAGTCCATTTAAATACCCCTCGCAAAACGCGTTGCGGGGGATAACAAAATAAAAATGACAAAAATCTGTAAATAGCAAAAGGCACCACTTCAAGATCTGTCTCATATATCTGCCAAGTTTTGCTGAAAGATATTAAGAAGTTTTCCAGTTGTGCTCTGGAATCGAAGCCCACCCCTCCATTTTGAGACTAAGTCCGAATTGTTTCCATGGAAACCGAAAAAATAATAAATCACAAAAATCTGCAAATAGCAAAAGGCACCACTTGAGGTTCTGTTTGATCTACCAAGTTTTGTTGAAAAATATTTAACGGTTCTTGAGTTATGCTCTGGAAACGAAGCCCACCCCACTTTAAGACTAAGTCTAAAAGGTTTCCATGGAAACCGAGAAAAATTAAAATGACAAAAATCTGCAAATAGCAAAAGGCACCACTTAAGGTTCTGTTTGATATATCTACCAAGTTTTGTTGAAAAATATTGAACGGTTCTTGAGTTATGCTCCGGAAACGAAGCCCACTAAGTCCAAAACGTTTCCATGGAAACCGAGAAAAATAAAAATGACAAAAATCTGTAAATAGCAAAAGGCACCACCTTAAGTTCTTAAGGACAGACGGACGGTCAGACAGACAAGGCGACGACTATATCCCTCCGCATTACATGCCGGGGGGATAAAAATGACAAAAATCTGCAAATGGCAAAAGGCACCACTTCAAGATCTGTGTGACATATCTGCCAAGTTCAAGATAGTGAACAGTTTTCGAGTTGTGCTCCGGAAACGAAGCTCACCCCTTCCTTTTGAGACTAAGAAACCAAGAAAAATATACATGCCAAAAATCTGTAAATAGCAAAAGGCACCACTTTAGCTTATGTTTGATATATACCCTTCATTGTTTGGTATTGAATTGAAAGAAATCATCCATTTTCCTCACTCTTATTCCTTAAATATATTTCAGGATTTAGTTTCCCATGAATACAGTATTGGTATCTCCAGTGGCAGAGAAGTATCCTTTAAATTTGATTCAAGGGTGGGGAAAGTTTGGCCAGGGCGAAAGTTTGCCCTGTTACACTGGTAAAACTGTGCAGTCCTAATGATCACACTATACTTTTCAGCAATTGGAATCAGTACATGAATGTTTCACTCACTGTTAAAGTCTCAGTAACACTGAACAAAGCAAATCTGAATTCAAGTGTAATTCTTAGCTCTGGTTTTGTACGGCATGGAAACTTTATTCTTCTTTTCTTTGTTCTCTTCTAAATGTTTGACTGCATCTCTCACATCAACCACTTCAAAATCTGTGCTGTGCATGCTTGTTTTCATAAGCATGTTCAGTTTGTTAATTTTGAGAGAAAATCTGTGTTGTGCTGGTGTAACCATGCATTTTTCTTACCTTGAATTGTCCATACAGCGATATTACTGAGTAGAGAAGTACAACAATCAGTGGACCCCAGAAATCAGGACTCTCTCTCACAATATGCCTATTGAACCCAAATTGTGGAATAGGAAAGAGAACACATCGCAGTTTGTAGTAGATGTCTTTCAAGTCTATATCCAATTCTTCTCTGAAACCAAATAAATTCAAACAGAAATAAAAAATGTGTTTGAGTAAAAATGGTATTTTGTACTTATCCTGACTCAAACTATTTGCTTCTCTCTCCCTTAACCAGAGATGTCCGAGTTATTTTCTCCAGACACAGTGAAAACATCTTGCCCGAATGCACCCTTCCCAAGTGACTACCCAATGATTGTCACTCCCTCCATTTTCGAGCTCCAAATGTTATAAGTTAGCCGGGATATATTTTTTTTTTGTGCGACTCTAGTGTATGAGTCAGGATAAGAATAACAAGAAGACAAAGTCATCAATATCCCCAGCAATGATAAAATGCTCTTCATGTTCAACTAGATATGACAATGTCAAATGTTACATTGTTCTTCACATTGATCTAACAAAAACATACATATGTAAACCATTCATATACTAGCATGCTTGTATCAACAACAGACTGCATGAGTGCTTCCATGTTTTGATGTCCCTAAGTAATGTTGATACTGGAAATAGAGTGGTACTGTTGATTTATGTCATAAGGTTCTTGAATATCCACAAAGTGGAATAAGAGTATTAAATGGTTTTATAGTTCTGTTCTGGAAAGGAGTACTACCACCAATTTCAGTCAAAGTCAAACTTGTTGCCATGGATATGACAATGTCCTTAGGACATCCAAAACTACCAAAAGGGGACCAGTTCACCACCAGACCTATCTATTTGCAAAGTTTGGTACAGAAACATTGAAGGATAAAGTAAAAAAAATATTTTTGTAATAAAAAACGTCATCAATAAAATGGTGGGAAGCAACCTAATTTTGAATTTATGTACTGATCATATAACCTCCAGGGAACTTCCAATCTTCTTAAATCCTAATAGGGATACAAGTTTCTCTTTAGAACAAAAACAAGTAAATCATAAGATTTTGTGCATTTATAAGCCTTGTATAGCATATGATTCCTGCTTCTCTTGAACCGATCCATACACTTTAAGCCAAAACATATGTTACCCTCCTAGCTTTATGAATTTCTTAAAAACTATCAAAGATATGTTAGAAGGTATTAGTTTACAAGAAAAGCTTAACAACACAGCTTTATGCAAATCATGAAAAGAAATTCTCAAATGCATTCATATTTAGGTGAAATGCATCATTTTCAGAAGAGTTAAATTGTCCTATGTGTTTGACCATGCCCAAATAAACCAATAACAGTGATTTAGATGTCCAAAAGAAAGGTTGAAATAAACTTCTGCTTTGAGAGAAAGATAAACCATTTAAAGTCTCCATTTTTCAAGTATTAAATCAAGAGTGAGTGAGTGAGTGAGTATGGTTTCACGCCGTTTTTAAGCAATATTCCAGCAATATCATGGTGGGGGACACCAGAAATGGGCTTCACACATAGTGCCCATGTGGGGAATCGAACCCGGGTCTTCAGCGTGACGAGCGTACGCTTTAGCCACTAGGCTACCCCACCCGCCCATCAAATCAAGAAACATCTGTTGGAGAGTGTGTACAATTGCAAAGAATCATTCCTATGATTTCACTGTTTTAAAACATTTTCTGCTGATTTGCAAAATTAGTAAAAACAAGTACAACGTGTCTTTGATATTGTGAAAAAGTGTTTAGGAACACTTAAAATTATCTTTGTTAACATTTGTGCTTGTCAAGTAACATTTTTACATTTTTTCCTGTCAAGTAACAGTTTTACATTTTCTGTTTACACATAGCAATATCAATTGTCAAAACGTAGCAATATTCAAGCAGTATTTGCATCAATTTCATGTGTAGAATGATTCTATAGAGTATAAAGAAGGCCTAGAATGCATGATATGATACACAAGTATGAGAAATATGCCACGATTAACAGCTTAAGAGATAGAAAGAGCCACTGGAATGTTGCCGATGGGGTCGACATACAATGTTGTTGCCAACGCCCTTGGATGCCACTGATTCACAGTTATAAGACTTATTCAGCGCTACAGACAGAGTGGGGTCACCGTAGACTGTGTGAGACCAAGAAGTGGACGTCCACTCATCACAAAGAAAGTTTCATCCTCACTTGTGTAGATTTCAAGAAATTCATTAAGGAAGGAGGATAACGTTTCTTTTGGCGTTTAGGTCATAAACTTAAATTAATCGTATCACTCATACTCGGAATTACATTGTAAAACAGCGGGGCATGGACTCTCAGTCATTGGTTATGGGACAGTAACCTAACTCCTAAGAGTCTATGTGATATGGGTGGAAATTATTTCCTTGAATGTACTGCCATTTGTTTTGAGCTACAACCAAAGGTCAAAATTGGTGAATACCAGTAACATCTCTGTAGCGAAATATCTGAGATAATGGTTGGCAAAGAGTATCAGACTTTCAGAAACATCTTTCCATGATGGATGTGAAGGAGCAGTTGTTATGAAGTGGTAGCGTGGACATTATCTTCGTGTGGACTGCATGCTGTAGGAGGTTCGAGTATTTGCAGCTTTGTATTCTCTCATCCAAAATGATATAGTAGTTGATAGAGAAATAGATAACCCCTTAAACTTCCTTCTTCTTAAAGTTGTTTTCTTCAGATATATTCAAAGGGCTCTGACTGGACAGAATGATAAATCTTCTGTCTTCTGCACCTGGAATATAAGTCAGCACTGGTATGTGGAATTGTCTATCAGGTTGCCCTAGAGGTTCATTGCCATTCAAATCCCATCTTAATCCCAGATGTACTGAAGCATGTTCACCAGTATCAAATCCTGTTCTACAGAAAGTCAATGGCATGACATTCTTGTAGCCGTAGCTAATACCAGGAGAAAGTGTCATTTGGAGCCCTGAGTTTGTTCAAGAGTCTTGAAATGATGGAAAAATGACGCCCAACTTATGTCCAATATGTGTGAGAGACATTCCTGCATTTTTCAAGCTGATAATTTGACACCTTGCAGCCTCTGACAATTTACAATATGCCATGACAATTATGGCATTGAATAATCAATCCAAATTGAAACAAAAGTGTGTGACATGTTATCTAGTTTGGAACCTTTAGACTTGTTCTTCCTGCCATAGCCATCAGATTTGGACACCACATTCTCAATGGCTAGTAAGGAGCTACCAGTCAGTTTCAGGTTCCTTGTTTGAACTCTTGGAATGAGCACTGGTGGAGGAAACACAAACGTGAGGACCTTCCCAGGATATTGCCAGAGCATCAACATTCCATGCAATAGGGTCTGGAACAGGATCAGGAGATACTAAGCTTGCTATCTGTTTCTTGAACCATTTTGTAAACAGGTCTATCATCAGGCAACTTGCTCTTGAACTGTCAGTTGAAATGCTTCTGGATATTACATCCATTTTGTTGGCGATGGCTTGTTTGGCCTGGACAGCACATCTACTACTACATCTGTAGCTCTTGGGATGTGTTTTGCTCTTATCATGAGGCTGAGACTGTCTGTCAGATTTTACAGTTGAAAATTAAACTCTACAAGACTTGCCGACTCTGAAGGTTGATGTAGATGGCTACAACTGAGTGTAGAACTTGTTCTTGAGCCCAGTGGGATATGACTCTGATTACTGCTTTGAATTCTAGCTGGTTGATGTGAAAGGACTCTTCCTCGTCGGTTGGGTTGATAATTGTAGCATGAATTTCAGAAGATCGCTGAGTTGCTCTATTAGTTGATGGGCCTGGATTCCATCGTCTAGGTAGAGTGCACACCAGATCAACTTCATGGCTATCCATGTAAATAGATATTCCAACAGGAAGCACCTTCCATTGGTAATGTTGACCTTGGAATGTGAATCATTGTGAATCTCTGATACAGGAGCCTCTTCCCCTGTTGGACTGCTCCCTTGACTTCTCCTTGGGCTTACAAAAATTAGAGGACTTTTCCCCCTTATTGACGTGAATCTTCTGTCTTCAGCCCTCTGGATGCCAGAGAAATAACTTCTGACTTAAGTTCTCTGTATCAACTGCATGTACAAGATTCCTCTTCTCTGCAACCACTGCTGAAAGAAACATTCTTTTCTGGTCTGTTTGAGAATTCTTTTACAAGTAACATAGCTTCCATGTTGGCACAAGACATAGCTAGTCCAAAAACATGGATTCCTGGAAGTGCTATACTGAACAAAAAAAGAAATTTCACATTTGGAGAAATGAATTTTGTGAAAATGTGTGCAGCTGGCTTTGTAGTGCAGGTTTCATCTTGCGTGCTTCTTCAACTTCGCAAACCAGTTATGTTGAACAGAAGATGACTTTCTCTTGTTCCATATGACCTTCAATGTTGCCTCAGTAGCCTTCATCACCACATCAGAGTTCTGTGATGATGAAGTCACTACTGGCTGAAATGAAACCATATCAACAGATTGTACAATAATATCATACAACTAGGATTGACTCCTGGGCAATACTGACGGTCTTCAGACATCCTCATACACTCCCCGTGGCTACCTTTACTTGTACTGTTTCTTGGACGTTAGCTGAAGCGTCCATTACAGTGTTTTTGAGATTAATTTGGCATTGATTCAATGCGGCTGACACAAACGGAAAATTCACAAACTGCAGAAAAACAAACAGGAAGGCACAGTCAAACAAAGCAAAGGAATTGAGCAATATATACAGACATATACTAAAAGAGAGATTAGTGGTAAATGTTGTAGATTTTGTTGTGGTCAAAAAGTCAAGCATATTCCTGTCACAGTCAGGTTGGTAAACAAACTGCTGGATAGGTCACATCCTGGCAATTCCAGAACACTAATCGTTTTGACTGTAGACCTAAGAACAATGGAGCTACGGCCTGTTAAAGAGGGAACTATTTCTATGGGCACTGGAAAACCTGGAAGTGGGGATTGTTGCTAGATTTTACTGATGCTACATTCAGCTATCTCACCACTGACGAAATGCGAAAAGGCCTAATGTTCGTGTTTGTGCCGTGATCGGGCCGTGATTGTGACGTAACTATTGACTTTACATAACAAAAATGTGAAGCAAAAATGTTCCCCATTCAATTACCTACAGTTGGTAAATTGAAAAATGAAATCCA